TTCTCCTTCTCCTCCTCTTCCTCTTCCTCCGCCTACTCGTCCTCCGCCGACTCTTCCTCCTCTTCCTTCCTCCACTCCCTCTTGTGACTCCCTGGGGGGCCTGCGAAGTGCGCAACTGTCGCCACCGCCGTGGGCTCCTGGGAGGCACGGCGGAGCAGGGGAGTGCGCCGACGCCGAGCCGTCGCGGCTCCGTGGGGGCGCTGCGAAGAGCGCACTTGCCGCCACTTCCGTAGGCTCCTGCCAGGCCCAGCGGAGTGTGGCGTACACGCCGGTCGCTGGTCGCTGGAATGTACTGAACACCCCGAATCTGCTGCTACCCCACAGGTCCACTGCTCCAGCTCTGTTGCACCACCCCCCTGCGCTGGACCCCCATTTGGGGTTAAGGGTCTTCGACCCTCTACACGCCGGTTGTTGAAAGTAGGTATTTACCTAACAGCGTTTGCTGATAGGTTTCTAGTAGGGTCAAAAGAGAGCATCATGACTCCTCGGGGGGGGTCTGGGCGGGTGCCGGGGAGGAGAACCTGGAATCGTTTTTCGCCAACAGTCACACACTTCGTGCTCTTCGACCTCCCAGAACTCCATTCCCGGGCCACATTCTGGAGAACCGGGAACAGAGCCGGGCTCGCTTTTCGCCAACAGTCACACACTTCGTGCTCTTCGACCTCCCAGAACTCCATTCATACATTTCGTGCTCTTCGACCTCCCAGAACTCCATTCCCGGGCTACATTTTGAGTGCCCGGAGCCAACTGTAGGCCACTTCGTGCTCTTCGAGTTCCCAGAACTCCATTCCCGGGCCACATTTTGGATGCCCGGAGCCAACTGTAGGCCACTTCGTGCTCTTCAAGTTTCCCAGAATTCCATTCCTGGGCATGATTTTGAATGCCCGGAGCCAACTGTAGGCCACTTCGTGTTCTTCTAGTTCCCAGAACTCCATTCTTGGGCCACATTTTGAATGCTGAGGCAGGCTGATGCTGCGGCCGAGGCAGGCTGAGGCTGAGGCAGGCTGAGGCTGAGGCCGAGGCTGAAGGCAGACTGAGGCTGAGGCTGAAGCAGACTGAGGCTGAGGCTGAGGCAGGCTGAGGCTGAGGCTGAAGCAGGCTGATGCTGAGGCAGGCTGAGGCTGAGGCTGAGGCTGATGCAGGCTGAGGCTGAGGCAGGCTGAGGCTGAGGCCGAGGCTGAAGGCAGACTGAGGCTGAGGCTGAAGCAGGCTGAGGCTGAGGCTGAGGCAGGCTGAGGCTGAGGCAGGCTGAGGCTGAGGCTGAGGCAGGCTGAGGCTGAGGCTGTGACTGCGACTGCCGTTGCCGCTGCGACTGTCATCGCGAATGCGACTACGACTGCGAGAACAGCAGAATTCTACAACCGGATTTTCATCTGAATCTTAAGGGGAATGCTTTCATATATGCTTCTACATATCGCTGTTAGGTTGCTTTGCCGGGATAATTTTGGATTCCCAGATCCCAATCTACTTCAAGCGCCTTCCTACTTCAAGAATCGACACGCTTTTGCTGTGTTTTGTTATTACCTAACAGCTTTTGCTGATAGGTTTCTAGTCGGGTCAAAAGAGAGCATCATGACTCCTCGGGGGGGTCTGGGCGGGTGCCGGGGAGGAGAACCTGGAATCGTTTTTCGCCAACAGTCACACACTTCGTGCTCTTCGACCTCCCAGAACTCCATTCCCGGGCCACATTCTGGAGAACCGGGAACAGAGCCGGGCTCGCTTTTCGCCAACAGTCACACATTTCGTGCGCCTCGACCTCCCAGAACTCCACTCCCGGGCCACATTCTGAGTGCCCGGAGCCAACTGTAGGCCATTTCGTGTTTTTCGATTTCCCAGAACTCCATTCCCGGGCCACATTTTGGACGCCCGGAGCCAACTGTAGGCCACTTCGTGCTCTTCGAGTTCCCAGAACTCCATTCCCGGGCCACATTTTGGATGCCCGGAGCCAACTGTAGGCCACTTCGTGCTCTTCAAGTTCCCAGAACTCCATTCCTGGGCCACATTTTGAATGCCCGGAGCCAACTGTAGGCCACTTCGTGTTCTTCTAGTTCCCAGAACTCCGTTCCTGGGCCACATTTTGAATGCTGAGGCAGGCTGATGCTGCGGCCGAGGCAGGCTGAGGCTGATGAGGCTGAGGCTGAGGCTGAGGCCGAGGCTGAAGGCAGACTGAGGCTGAGGCTGAAGCAGACTGAGGCTGAGGCTGAGGCAGGCTGAGGCTGAGGCTGAAGCAGGCTGATGCTGAGGCAGGCTGAGGCTGAGGCTGAGGCTGATGCAGGCTGAGGCTGAGGCAGGCTGAGGCTGAGGCCGAGGCTGAAGGCAGACTGAGGCTGAGGCTGAAGCAGGCTGAGGCTGAGGCTGAGGCAGGCTGAGGCTGAGGCAGGCTGAGGCTGAGGCTGAGGCAGGCTGAGGTTGAGGCTGTGACTGCGACTGCCGTTGCCGCTGCGACTGTCATCGCGAATGCGACTACGACTGCGAGAACAGCAGAATTCTACAACCGGATTTTCATCTGAATCTTAAGGGGAATGCTTTCAGATATGCTTCTACACATCGCTGTTAGGTAGGTTGCTTTGCTGGGATAGTTCCCTGGGGGGGTCTGGACCCAATCAACTTAATCCGCCGTCCTACTTCATGTTTTTACCTACTTCTTTCGACCGACGTGTATGCGGACCCAGCCGAGACGTCGCGGCTCCCTGTGGGGCTGCGAAGTGCGCCACTGCCGCCGCGTTCGTGGGCTCCCGGGAGGTCCAGCGGTGCGGAGGGGCCACGCAGACCCGGCCGAGACCCCGCGGCCCCCTGCGCACCGCCGGGGTGCTCCTGCGCACTGCGGGTCTTTCAGCACGCCCATTGTATTGAGCGATCTTGGGTATGGTGGTACCTATAGGACCGCCCTGCGGGCGATAAGGAGGTTTGGGGGAGATTGAGATCAAATGCCCACCCTGACTGACCTCCAGCCTGTCACCTTGATCTCATCTCTCTCTTTCTCTCTGTCTCTCTGTCTCTCTCTCTGTCTCTCTGTCTCTCTCTCTCTGGATTGGATTGGACAATATCGATTGGGTAAGATAAGAAGGATTGGATGAGAAAGCCCGCCGCAGGCTCATGTTTATCAAGGGTTGGGTACGTCGCAGGGGCTGGGTACGGCCGTAGCTTGATTGTACCCCGAGATGTCCACCTTACTCGCGTTTACCTCAGGTTTGGAGGCCGCTCAAAGTACGTGAAGGTGAGGGTGAGCTTGAAGATGAGAGCGACAGTGAGCCGAGGTGGCCGAGAGGAGTATGGATGTGTGTTCCCGAGCGGGGGGGGGGCAGGGAGAGCACAAGAGCCTTGGGAAGGCTCAGGGAGAGGACACTCCACGCCATGGTGCTGATGATGACGATGGTGATGCTGCTTCTGCTGCTGCTGCTGCTGCTGCTGATGATGATGATGCTGATGCTGATGCTGCTGCTGCTGCTGATGAGGATGATGATGATGATGATGATGATGATGATGATGATGATGATGATGATGCAGGTGCTGCTGATTGAGTGTGATGATTGTGATGGTGATCCAATGGTGGTGATGATGCTGCTGACGATGATGATTATGATCATGGTGATGTTGTTGATGATTATGTTGATATGGTTGCCTCTGATGCTGCTGTTGGTGCTGCCGATGATGCTGATGCTGATGATGATGGTGAATCCGATGCTGTTGCTGATGATGCAAATGGTGCTGATGCTGATGCTGATGATGATATTGTTGATGATGACGATGCTGATGCATATGGTATGACAGGATGATGGTGCTGGTGCTGCTGCTAATGATGATTGTGCTGCTGCTGATGATGATGATGGTGATGATGCTGCTGATGATGATGCTGATGCTGATGCTGATGATGATGCTGATGATGATGCTGATTACGATGGTGATGATGCGGCTGCTGCTGGTTTGGAAGATGACGATGCTGCTGTTGATGATGCTGATGCTGCTGATGCTGATGCTGATGCTAATGATGCGGATGAAGTCGTTGATGCTGATTTTGGTGATGTTGATGCTGATGCTGATGCTGATGATGATGCTGAGTCTGCTGCTGATGATGATGATGATCATGATGAATATGATGCTGCTGATGATGATGATTATGATGAGTATGATGATGATGACGATGATGCTGATCATGATTATGATGATGAGGCTGATGATGATTATGATTATGATGATGATGACGATGATGATACTGACTATGATGATTATGACGATGTTGATGCTGATGGTGATGACGACGACGATGCTGATGATGCTGATGATGCTGATGCTGATGATGATGACCGTGATGCGGCTGCTGCTGCTTCAGGTAATGAAGATGTCGCCGCTGCTGATGATGATGCTGCTGATGATGGAGATAATGATGATGTCGATGCCGTTGAGGTTGTTGTTGATGCTGTTGTCGTTGTTGAGCGTGGTGATGGTGCTACTGCTGCTGATGATGATGATGAGGATGAGGATGAGGATGAGGATGAGGATGAGGATGAGGATGAGGATGAGGATGATGATGATGATGATGATGATGATGGTGATGATGATTCTGATGATGATTCTGATGATGATGAGGATGACGATTGGAGGAGGAGGAGCGCAGGAGGAGGAGGAGGAGCAGCAGGAATATACCTACAAAAACCAACCAGTCGCAAGGAGCAGCTTCAATTAGAGACGCCACCATGCTCCACTGACCACCAGGCACTTCCAATAGCAGTCAAAACGCCAGCATGAACTTCAAGCTTACCAAGCCCCCGTAAGAGTGGGGCAGGAAGGGATGGGACGGAGCGAGGGAGGGAAGGAGGGAGAGAGGCTGCAGGAGGAGGAGTCAGGGGAGCAGGGAGAGGAGGGGAGGGAAGGGACGGGATGGGGAAGGAAGGGAGGGAGGGAGGATGGAGGATGGAGGCAGGGGGGCAGGGAGGGGAGGGGCGGGAAGGGAGAGGTGGGGATGGGAGGGGGGGGGGAGGGAGGATGGGGGATGGAGGCCGGAACAGGGGAGCAGTAGCGCGCCTCTCGGCTCGAGGGCGGGGCCTCGTTGCCAGGGGCACCCCGCCGCTGGCCCAGGGCTTCCCCGTCCCTCCCCCCTCCTCCTTCTCCTCCTCCTTGCCCTCCTCCTCCTCCTTGCCCTCCTCCTCCTCATCCTCCTGCTCCTCCTCCTGTTCCTGCTCCTCCTCCTCCTCCTCCTCCTTTTCGCTCTATGCCCAATCGGCCAGCCCGCTAGACTCGGTCCCGTGCTGTGAGGTTTGAGATTAGGGATTGCGATTTCGAGTCCTCGAACTGCTTTTGAGGTAGAGTATCTCAGGTCCGTTGAGGCAACATCGGCGCTTCAGGTGGCAGTCCAGTCCAGTCCACCTCGTCCTCTTCATTTTGTGTATGTTGGTAAACTCAAGCACGGAGCTGGAGTGTTCAACGGGTGAAGCATGTACACAAACGAAAGGGACGCGTGAGGCCGGCTGAGGCAAGGCGCGAACAAATTGGGCGAGGCCAGCGTAGAATTCTAAAGGACAGGGCACGCCGTTTTCTCCTCCTCCCTCTCCTTCTCCTCGCCACCCGCGGACGGGAGTTCCACTGAGCAGAGGCAAACCCGCGCGGCCAAGTGTGTCGCGTGTTCCACTCGGCGTGACTCCCTCGTTAGCTTTGCTTTCGGCGGGGTCATTTGAGCTTCGGGCCATCTGCTTCTTCTTCTTATTCCTCCTCCTCGAGCGCGTAAATTATGTGGTCTACATGGGAGGGTCGCCAGCGACGGGCCATTGCACTTTGGCTTTCGAGGACTGAGGTTTCGACTCATGACTGGTGCATTCCAAGAGCTCAGTTCTGCTGCTGCAGTCTGCTCTGGGTTCTGGAGTTCGGTAGCGTGCGCCACCAGTGTCTTGAGACATTCACGTGGTCATCGTGATGCTTCGGTGTTGCATCGTCGGTTTGAGCAACTGGCTGTGGTACCCGAGGTGTGGAACAACCTCCCTTGGGGCCTTCCGAATGGGGTTCGTAAAGCGGTGCCCCGATTGTACAAGCATTTCTTTGCCGCTGCTGCTAATGACCTCTGGAGGCACATCCGTGGCCTCGCCACCGCAGCCTGCGCCACGGTGCCACGCTTTGAACGAACCACGAGAGACGTTGATGGTTGCTGGCCGTGCTCCCCACGCCTGCACCGTGTAGTCCACGAGCTGAGTTTGCAGTGCTCTTGTTCTGACTGTGCTGATGCCTCTGCCTGGAGCCGCACACGCTGCTTGATCCTTGAGGCAGCCGCGAGCTCGGGTGAAGGCCAGGTCGCTCCTGTTGGGTATGGATCGTGATCTGGAGGACCTTCGGTGACGGTGCCCGCACCCGAATGTGGCTGGTCGTGCCAAGCTTAGTTCGGCATCGCACTATGAGCTTCTCATGAGTTGGCGAGCTGGTGTCTCTGCTGGCAGTGCCGCCGGGGTGGGGGTGCCTCGTCGGTGGGCAGCTCGGTATGGCCGCACCGCCGACCCCTTGGGGGAGAGTCGCTGTTGCGGCTTCTGGGTGCTGCGTGACACGTGCTCTTATTCATCGAAGACGCCTACGGCGAATCACCGCCGCCTCCTGCCTTTTTGGAAGCGCCGATGTGGCTGAACGTTGAGGCCAGACCTGTCAAGCCATCGGACCATGTGTTCCCCGAATCGGTTTGGAAAGCCTTCGGGGAACACGTGGGCATCTTGAAGGTCATCTTGGCCGTCTTGGAGGCCTCTTGGGCGATCTTTCGGCGATCTTTGGGGGCTCTTGGGCCGTCTCGGGCCGTCGGAAGGCCGAAAAGAAGGAAATGTCAAAATCCTCAGAAACAAGTTTAGGACAATCAAGGTTTTTCCCTACCTAGGCTCTACCTAGAAGGGTTCTTACTCTGTAGCTTAAAGTGGCCGGGCAGTGCAAAGCGCCCCGGGCGGCTCCCCCAGCCCCCTGGGAGCCAAGCAAAAGCAACGGCAAAGGTAAAAGCAAACGCGCGGTACGCAAAAGTGAAGGCAAAAGCGAAGGCACAGCAAAAGCATAGCATAGCCTAGCACAGCATTGCATAACATAGCATAGCATAGCATAGCGCAGATAGCATAGCGCAGCATAGCATAGCATAGCATAGCCTAGCCTAGCCTAGCCCAGCATAGCAGTGCGCAGCATAGCACAGCATTACATGCATAGCATAGCATAGCATAACTTAGCATAGCGCAGTACGGCATCCACTATTGCTGCCTGCTTCTGCTGCTGCTTCACTTACGGCGTGGCGTCGGCGACTTGTTGCCTGCTTCTGCTGCTGCTTCACTTACGGCGTGGCGTCGGCAGTTCTGGCGCGACTACTACTACTACTACTACTACTACTACTACTACTACTACTACTACTACTACTACTACTACTACTACTACTACTGCTACTACTACTACTACTACTACTACTGCTGCTGCTGCTGCTGCCACTTTTCTTACTACGTCTACGACTACTACTACTACTACTACTACTACTACTACTACTACTACTACTACTACTACTTTTACTACTACTACTACTACTACTACTACTACTACTACTACTACTACTACTACTACTACTACTACTACACTACTACTGCTACTACTACTACTACCACTACTACTACTACTACTACTACTACTACTACTACTACTACTACTACTACTACTACTACTACTACTACTACTACTACTACTACTACTACTACTACTACTACTACTACTACTACTACTACTACTACTACTAACTACTACTACTACTACTACTACTACTACTACTACTACTACTACTACTACTACTACTACTACTACTACTACTACTACTACTACGGATACGGCTACGACTACTATTACCACTACTACTACTACTACTACTACTACTACTACTACTACTACTACTACTACTACGGCTACTACTACGACTACTACTACGACTACTACTACTACTACTACTACTACTACTCCTACTGCTACTACCACTACCACTACCATCACCACTACTACGGCTACTACGACTACTACTACTACTACTACTACTACTACTACTACGGATACGGCTACGACTACTATTATTACTACTACTACTACTACTTCTTCTTCTACTACCGCTGCTGCTACAACTACGACGATGAGGAGAAGGAGGAGGACGGCGTTGACCGCTCCTGCTAATGTTGCTTTCCTAGAGGCTCCAACTCCTAGGTAGGGTCGCACTGGGATACTTGGCCTTTTCTGGCCTTCCTGGAGGCCCTCTCGGAGGCCTCTTGGGCCGTCTTGGGCCAGCTTCGAGCCACTTTCGGCTATCTTGGTGGGTTCCTGGCACGTTTGACGCCGTCGGGAGCCGTCTTGGGGGCCTTTTTGGGCCAACGGGGGACCCTCTTGGGGCGCTTCGGGGCCGTCTTGGAGGCCATCTTGGGCGTGTTGGAGGCCTCTTGGGCCGTCCAAGGCCCTCTTGGGGCCATCTTGGTGGCCACTTGGGCCGTCATGCGGCCCTCTTGGGGGCCTCTTGGGCGATCTTGGGGGCCTCTTGGGCCGTCTTGAGCCGTCGGAACGCCGAGAAGAAGCAAATGCCCAAATCCTTTAAAAACCTACTGAAAATAAATGATTTTGGCCTCTTCGGGCCCTCCTGGAGAGCCTCTCGACGGGCTCTTGGGCTGTCCTTGAGGCCTCTTAGGGGCCTCTTGGGCCGCCTTGGGCCATCTTGAGGCTATCTCAGGCCGTCTTGGGTACATTTTGGGCCGTCTTGGAGGCATCTTAAAGCCATCTTAGCCGTCTTGGAGGCCATCCTGGCCGTCTTGGAGGCATCGTGGAGGCCATATTGGAGCCGTCTTGGGCAGGAAATTGGGGAATTGAGGTCCTTGTCAATCCTCCCGGCACCCCGGCGGGACGGGCCGAAATCCACTGGGAGAGTTCTTTTGGAAAAAGAACTAAAACCAAAACCGTAATAGTCTGGCACGCCAGGCACCCCTGCGATGAATCAACAGGGGGCGGCGGATCGAAGACGCCTACGGCGAATCACCGCCGCCCCCCTGCCTTTTTGGAAACGCCGATGTGGCCGAAAGTTGGACTAGAGCTTGGCCAAGCTATCGGACCATGAGTTCCCCGAGTCGGTTTGGAAAGCTTTCGGGGAACACATGGGAGAGAATGATTATGAACAGGAAGAGGAAGAGGAAGAAATAGAGTAGGAGGATGAGGGTTGTTAGGAGTCTCTTGGGGCACCCTTGGGGTCTGTTGGGAGCTTCTTGGGGGCCTCTTCGAGGCCTCTTGGAGGCATCTTGGGGGCCTCCTTGGGCCTCTTGGGGGCCTTTGGGGGCTTCCTGGGGGTCTCTTTGGCCGTCTTAGGGCGTTCCTGGTCCGTCTGACGCCGTCTGGAGCCGTCTTGGGGGCCTCTCTGGGCCGTCTTGGGGCCCTCTTGGGGCGCTTCAGGGCCGTCTTGGAGGCCATGTTGGGCGTCTTGGAGGCCTCTTGGGCCGTCTTGGGGCGCTCTTGGGGCCGTCTTGGGGGGCCCTTGGGCCGTCATAGGGCCTTCTTGGAGGCCTCTTGGGCGATCTTGGGGGCCTCTTGGGCCGTCGGAAGGCCGAAAAGATGAAAACGCAAAAAACCTTCAAAAACCTAAGGAAAACCAATGATTTTGGCCTCTTCGGGCTCTCCTGGAGAACGTCTTGGAGGCCTCGTGGGCCATCTTGGAGGCATCTTGGGGCCATCTTGGCCGTCTTGGAGGGCATCTTGGGCCGTCTTGGAGGCATCTTGGAGCCATCTTACCCGTCTTGGAGGCCATCGTGGCCGTCTTGGAAGCATCTTGGAGGCCATCTTGGGCCATCTTGGCCGTCTTGGAGGCCATCTTGGGCCAAGTTGGGGCAACAAAGGCATTGACAGACGCATTTTGGGAAATGCGCGGGTGGCCGGCGGGACGGGCCGAAGCCCACTGGGGAGTTCTTTTAGAAAAAGAACCAAAACCAAAACTGAATCATCCAGCACGCCGTGCACCCCTGCAAGCAGGGGGCGGCGGATTTCTACATGCCTTCGGCCCATCCCGCCACCGTGCCTGGGTTGTGGTTCAGAGGCCTCTTGGATGTTCGTTGGGATCTCGTGAGGAGCCTCTCGGGGGCCTGCCCGATACAGTTTGGAGGCCTCTGGG